ACAAAACAAACTGAGATGAGAAGATTTCAAGCCAACGATCAAAATCTTCGATGAGTAGAGGAAAATTATGAGAAGAAAAGAAGCACTTACTGGTTATCAGATCTGTTATGATTTCAGACTCAGTACTGGATGTTACAGCCAAAACTATTGAACCCACAGAACAAGAGTTACACTACATGTTAAACAAATTATTAATGACTAAATTATTTTTAAAAGGGCGATTATAATACAGATGTAATAATACAAGGTGCCAACACACATTTTAGTTCAAACAACTTGTAAATGTGCATGTAGCATCCTATGACCCCTTTAAGTAATAACAATCAATCAAGGCAACTCACATGTTGTTGTGTTCGTTGTTGACAAATTCGCTGAAATTAATATTTAAAAGACTATGAAATTGCAATGATCATATTAGACTAGAGAGTGCTAGAATAAGAAAAACTCAAATTGGCCTTACAAAGCATTAAAAAACGTATTTCATGGATTCTTTTAGCTATTAGTCTATGTAGATTTGAGGCTATCAATGTAAAACTCTCATAATTATATTTTAGCAGATATATTCAAACAAATTTAGACTTTTTCTTCCGTCTTGATGACTCTTAAGGGTGTATAAAAATTTTTTGTTCAATGCAAATTCAAAGCTCATGCCTATGACATAACCTAAATCCTATTGGCTGATTAAAAATGGGTGGCGACAACCTCCCATATAACCTCCCATAGTTTCAAATGGAAATACATCAGGGCAAGAAAACTATAACTTTTACAACCCAGTCTCATAAAAATATGTACCTCTGCGTACATTTCTGCAACACCGTTTTTACGTACCTTACTGCACGTTTCGCCGCAGTTTCAAAGAGAAATGTCCACTGAGTGGCGCTAAAACACGGGTTCAATACGTTCAATAACCCTAGCACGTTTTTATTACGATGATATAGGTACGTATTGCTGTGTTTTTATTACGTTTCTTCAGGTACGTATTGCGGCGATTCAGAATTCAAATATCCGGGGACTGTCGCTAAAAGTTAATGCTCTGTCGTGTTGGAAATATGCCCTACACCAAACCCAACCCTAAACCGCCCCGATAGTGTTAACAAATGCAAAACTGATATAAAAACACATTTTTTGATGCAACCGTGCCATTTTAACTTTCTTATATACAGATTTGAACTGTTTTGTAGAACCGTAGTTACACTGGATTCGAACCGGAGCTCCTCACCTCTCAAGTACGTCTCCGTACTCCGTGAGCTACCGAACAAACTTACCATCTATGAAAACCCATTGATATGAAGCTGGATATGTGAGGTGCTAACAATCAAAAGCATCAGTTTTCAAATCTCCCAGCATATTAAAAATGTTTTGAAGTCACAACATAATACTCTTCAAGTAATTGTGCGAAAATTACGCTTTATTAATCGAAACTCTGTGTGAAAATAATTTAAAAGGTGTCGGGAGTTTTACTGCCTCTAGTGTTCATTTTTTTGGAAACTGCAGTGATATGTACTTATTGGTACGTATTTCGCGTCTTGCAAAAATGTGCCCCCAGGTACGTATTTGCCATGAGACTGGGTTGAACTTTTAGCAACTGAAATGGTTCCTAGTATTTTCTTATGTGACGACAATATTAATTAATCCAAGTCATTTAAATTAGAAAATCTGGAAATTCCATAATTCCAACCTTGAAAGGTTCCATTGGGAATCATTGTAGTTGGACTGCCCTCTGTGATTGGTGGCAAAGATGACATGGCGGCCAAACCTTACAAGAAACAAAAAAACATCTGCTTTGAAAAGAATAAACCACTTTATCTGTCCATTAAAAGTAGTTTGTGATTAAACAGCTCTGACCCTTACTGAGACTCTGTCGGAATGAGGAGATGTTGGATTTTCTCCTAAGGCATGCATAGTATGGAATTACATTTCCACTAGTAAAAATGTTCATTCTTGATATCAAAAATGACATCATCACTCGCAGAAATCGAATTCTTGTTATCAGGAATTTCATTTCAACTAGTAAAAAATATTATTCTTGATATCAAGAATTAACATTTTTACTAGTGGAAATGTAATTCCCGATATCAAAAATAGCCATTGTTACTAGTAAAAATCCAATTCCTGATATCAAGAATTAGCATTTTAACTAGTGAAAATTGAATTGTTGATATCAAGAATTCATATCCTGTGAATAAAATGGCTTGCCATAGGTCTAGAGCTCTAAAATTTGTATACTTCATAATAAAAAAAACTGCAATGTTCAAGGGTGAAGATGAATGGAAATCACTGTATTGTTATCATTATAAAGCATGAGAGATCACTTACCTTGCAATTTAACCTCCAGTAAAAGATGAAAGATTATGAAGATGAACAGGGCCATTTCACTATGTCTGTAGGCACTGTGAACAAACTTTAGATTAGAATAGACTACTCTGAAAGTGTCTGAGAGGGAAGTAGGTAATGAAACTTACCTTAAAATGGGCAAAATGTCAGTTCAATTTGACATTTCGGTCAAGAATTCTGTGCTATATAAAAATATGTCTGACCAATTACCGTGTATCTATTTCAGAATGAGATCAAAACTGAAAAACTGACCACACGAGTAAGAAAACTCAAAGTAAAAGTCAACCTCCAGAAACATCATTCACATGGTTGATGAAGATATTTAACAGGGAAGTTTATAGAATCACTTTCACTTGATGTATCAGCTTTTGTTAACTAAAACAAGAAGTACAACAGTCTTTAAAGGTAGATAATGAATCACACTATGATTAAATGTCACCTTTTAAACTATACATAATGACTGGATGGAAAATTGCTGGGTTAAGCAAAATGCATACAGAGACATTATGTTATGCAGTTCTGAAAAAAATACAATGTTTGGATTCAAAGGCTTCAGGGGAAGAAAAATAGTGGACAAAAAAACTTTTGTTGCAAAAAAAATCAAAGTGTTATGATCAGGCTTAATTTTCCCAGACTCTCCAATATAAAACCTATATAAGACGTGTACAGAAAAGTAAAAAAAAAAAAAAAAGTCTCCTCTGATGTCAGCAAGAGATGCCTTTGTCCTTTTTTGAGGAAAAAAACAATGTCATCAATAAACCCCAGCAAATATTGGCCAACATCATTGTTAGGCAGATGGAAAATGTATATTATTAGCCCTTATAGAATTCTGTCTGTTTTAGGTGATATTTACACGTCCCCTCATTAATTTTACTGACACATTGAAGACCAAACAATTTAGGCATGTTGTGTGAGCGGGTCACCGATGACGTTTGCAACCGCTTGTGTCAGAGAGATACCACAGGAACAATGCAGTGCTGTTAATTTAAAGCGTTTACGGATGGAATAATGGGGTCAGTGTAACAACAATCCACACCCATCGCTGTGGCCTTCAACGCCTGAAAAGGATCTACTGCCTGGGTTCAGAGAAAAAAACAGAGGTCACCTTAATGTCAGATATTTAACATCTAGGGCCTGTTTGAACAGGGGGTTTGGTGATTATATAAATCGGTCAAACAGAGAAAAGGAAATTCTTCTTTGAGCAAAGAGGATCTGCTCTGAAAGGTTGCTAGGAGTGACAAAAGCAACAGACGCTGTCTGAAATGGAAGCGCTTGCCAGACTTTCGCTCTCTTTTGTAAACAGTCACAAGGAGAATCTGAAACATTAATCACATTAAAATTGTTTTTTAATGACTGAATTTGTCTATTTACAGTTTTACTGGTATCTATACTGTCTATCAAGCCTTTAATCCTGGTGACAATAAGAAACTTACAACTTGTAAATTGAATTGAAATATCTGAACAATGCATTTTAATATGTATGAAATAATCCACAGTTACAAATGCTTCTAATTTACAAAATATTTGTTTTAATTTGGAAATTGTTAAACCCTGTTTGGTGCATGATGACAAATATTTAAAGCTCTTTTTAAATATTCAGAGTGAAATGTTGAATCCATGGGTGATGATGACCTTTGACACTTTCTCATAATTCTATATGACTGTTTATATCTTTATATCAACACAAATTCAAAATGCCTGACAAAAGATACGTGTCATACTATGTTCTATTGCAGTGGACAAATGCGTAAGACAAAAAAAATAAAAATACTGGAATAGTTCACCCAAAAATGAAAATGTACTCAAATGAGTTTGTTTCTTCATTGGAACAGATTTTGAGGAAGCACTGAAGAAAGGGTTATTATGAATTATGGACTGGTATTTTGGCCAGAAGCTACGGTTTGAAGTTAAAAACCTTTTAATGATGTATTAGTTTCTTACAAACATGCAGCTTTTCGCTTCACAAGATGTTAACTGATGGACTGGAGTCGTGTGGATAACTTGTAGGTTATTGTGATGTTTTTATCAGCTGTTTGGACTCTCATTCTGACGGCACCCATTCACTGCAGAGGATCCACTGGTGAGCAAGTGATGGAAATCTGTTCTAATGAAGAAACAAACTTATCTACATCTTGGATGGCTAAGGATGAGTACATTTTCAGTAAATTTTCTTTTTTGGGTGAACTATTCCTTTAAATCATTTGTTGCATCAGATTAATAAACAAACGTCCACTTTGTAGTTCCTCTAATCATATTTACTATCTCTACCTAAAAAAAATAGGCATGATTTTAAGTTTTTCTTTAATGTAAATTACAGTAGTTATTTTGCACATCACATTTTCTTAAACAGTGTTATCAATAATTTAGGTTTCTGAGCTTTTATGTCAATGAAAACGCAAGATTTGTTTTTTAAGGAAACACTTTTCAGAACAAAGCTTACAGAGTATTACCACTTTTTTTGGCATAACCTTGAATCTACTCGGTTTTTAAAATGTGATCCAATAGTTTTGGTAGCTTTATGAGCATTTTAATGGAAACTTTTAATAATAACACATTTTTTTCCCCAGTCCTTTGTAGCTGGACTATCCCACTGAGGTAATATAGAGTGGAATTCTTGAAGTTTTCACTTTGCGAAACCAACTAGAATCTAGAAATCTCAGCTCATGTTGTTTCCCCAGATCCAGTATCTATGAAATGCATATAACAAATTCAGTTTAAAAAATAAAAATAGCAGATTTTGTTGAATTATATTCTATAATTTTTGAAAACAAAAAAATATCAGTGAAAAACACTCCACTGCCCAGCAATTCTTGCTCCTTTTTCATTGTAAAAAATGAAAAAGGAACACTTCAGCTACTATACCACTTCCTAGCATACTGTCCTCAGCATCTGCATTCTGAGTCTTTTAAGGATCTGGGAGAGATCAGAGGAGGGTATTTACACAGCCACCGTGGTGATAGACGACACAGGTGTTGCGGCTCCTTCCGGTGTAACCTTTGCCAGTCGGTGCTCCTTGTTTTGCGAGCAGCTCCGTCCGCACAGCTGGCAGGACGCGCAGCAGGAGTTGCAGCAGGGCAAGAAGCGAAACACACTCACGCGCCACAGGAACCAGCCAGGGGCCCAACAGCACCAGCACATGAGAACCCCTACTACAGTCACACCCAGAACCACATACAGCGCCAGCAGAGAAATGGAAGACTGGGAATCTAGAGAAGAAAGGATTTCATTAAAGGACTAGGACCTACAATTCCCAGTGAAATTTAAATATATTCAGTAATAATGACATTTATGGAATAAATTATTAAACAAACACAAATCTGGTATTCATGTGTCTTTTAAGACTTTTAAATGCAATAAGCCATGACAGAGTGTGTATTATAGTATCTTTAGCATGATTAAGTCAGCAGCAATAGCAATATTATAAAAGACACATTGTTTAATAAATATATACATTTGTTAAATAATAGGTATCTGAATAAATAACCAAGGAATAATATATAGTTTATTATCCTAGCTTTATATTACTAGTAAGTTAGTTTGGTAATTAATTAATCTTTATCTGCATTTTAAGGTTCATCTAATCATACCAAGTAGGCCATATCTAATGAACTATATACATTAAGTAAATTGTGATAATTGTTAAGTTAATTGTGAGTAAGTTAATTGTGATAATTGTGATTTTTTTTATTTTATTTACATTATTGTAAATACTTCTGTTAACCTTTTAATTTATATTTAAGTTTTAGTAGCTAGTTTACCCCATTACTTCAATTTTACCTTATTTTATTTCATTTAGCCTAGTTGCCATAGCAACATTTCTAATTTTCATTTAGGTTTTTCATATAATATTTATATTTTATTAATGAAAATGTGGCTTATTGTTTCATTTGGCAACTGTGTTTCATTACATAATTTTATACAGTAAAATATGATATGATACTCCTTATACTGTCAGGTTAACTAAAGCTTTCTTTGTGAAATCTGTCCCTGCCTTTGTTCGAACACCTGTGGATTTTTAAAAGCAATTTAGATCAAATTTGGAGAAGTTGAGAAGTTTCAACGAGCAGCTGATTTACAGCTCACTGTTTGCAATGAACATTTATGTCCTCCTCAATCAGCTTTGTGTTCTTAGCCTTTCAGAGTTCACCATTATACAGCAATTAAACCAAATTTATGGACACTCAAAAAGAGCTGCCATTCTGAGTAGTCATCATTATATTTAGGTTTTTGTGCATTTGAACTCTTCTTCCACTCCAGGTTCTTCATCTATCTATCTAAATCATAAAAAAATAGAATAAAATAAAATAAAATAATAAAAAAATAAAATAAAAAATAAAATAAAATAAATAATTTTTAAGGTCTAAATATGCACTTAAAAACAGTATGGTGGATTGTACTCCCGCTTTAGTGACTTCAAACCCATAACCATGTAAAACTGATTTACTGAATGCTTGGACAGTAACGTGCTTGGTTTTGTTAATTTGGTCTTCTGCAAGTAACCATACAGAATTCTGAGAAGCCTGTAAAACATGTTTTTGAAGTTTAACAAAATGTTACAATACAGGAAAGAACCTACTGACTTATCTTAAAGGAAAAGATTATTCAGAAATAAAAAAATGCTGTCACAAAATTCTATAACTTTTCGAATTTACCATAATGCCTAAATGCACTTTCCCACTAAAGTGGGAAAAGGTTCTTTAGATTTTTAAAATGTTCTTCAAAGTAAAAAGAACCTTAAAATATTTTTTTTCCTTAGTATGAAGAACATTTGAATAATCTAAAGAACCTTTTTCCACTATAAAGAACATTTTGTTCAATGGAAAGTTTCCATAGATGTAAAAGGTTCTTCATAGAAACATAGATGTCAATAAAGAACTGTTATTTTTAAGAGAGTGGCAGAATTTTTGTTCTGCTTCTCTTTGGTTGCATATTTTTTATTGCATTTAATAACTACTAGAGAAGAACAAACCGGTCACAGAATTTGGATCAGGAATGGCATTTGAAGTGGCGCAGTTCTTTAAAGTGGACACTGTCCGAGTGGGAACGTTCAGCATCTGTGCTGGTTGGGTAACATGATGCTGTGGGGGCTTGGGGGTAGATAGAGGACCTGAAACCCACAAAAACAAGAGCAAGATCTATCAGGAACAAATCCCAGATGGAAAAGCCTTCTCAAAATAAACTCTTTACTGACCATTGCAACCAGGGTAATCGATTAAGTCACTGCCATCGCCACAGTTGTCGATGCCTTTATCATCCGCACAAACCAGACTCATGGGAATACACTTCCCATTGCGACAGTTGAAGTAAGGCTCTCCTTGGCACTCTGATTGGTTAAAACCTGGAGAGACAAACAATATGAGCAGATTGTTGGTATTCTATTATGCTTCAGAGAGGAAGATATAAACACATTCGAACCTAGCCTAAATGAAGTGAAGTCTCCAACAAAGTCCACCCTTGGCTGAGTTCCTCGTGTCACAAGACGCAGAGTTAGAAAGTTGCCCGTTGACAACACTGGTCGAGGAGGACTCTTCCCACAGAGTGGCTGGCCAATAGGGGGTGCGGACTTATCCCTCCCATCATAGAACTGGACGTACGAGCCAGCGTGGCAGGGGTCTCCAGGCCCCTCCTCAGTGGTTGGCTCCAAGCTCAGGTTAGGACGCGTTGGGCCGGATGATGAGGACCCTCTGGGTGATTCTTGGAAGAGGGGTGCGGGGCTGTGCGGGGACACTCTTAGCAGGCTGTAGACCAGAAAGAAGCGGAAGTAGAACTGCACCTTGTCCCGGGGGGTGGCGGACTGCATGGTGAGGTGGCAATCCGTTCCCATGGAGACAAAGTAGTACTTCCGGGACTCCTGGTGGGACTTAACGATCATGCCGTCCCCCTGTATTGTCTGTCCACAGAAGTCCACAACATTCACTGTTGAGAATATTGAGATAACCGTGAGATTCAAGATAATTTTCTCAAGAAGTTGAGATTCCCAACCAACTTTTGTTTCAGTTAAAAGTAGATCACCCAAAAATTTAAATCTGCTGAAAAAAAAGGTTGTTCCTTCATCAGAACAGATTTGGAGAAATGTAGCATTACATCATTTGCTCACCAATAGATCCTCTGCAGTGAATGGGTGCCGTCAGAATGAGAGTCCAAACAGCTGATAAAAACACTACAATAATCCTCAAGTAATCCACACCACTCCAGTACATCAATTAACGTCTTGTAAAGCGAAAAGCTGTTTTTTTGTAAGAAATAAATTCAAGACGTTTTTAAATTCAAACCATTGCTTCAGGATAATATAAAAGTGCTCTGTCTATAATATTGTTTTCTCCAGTGATAAAGTCATCTCATCTGAATCAGGAGAGAAATATGGACAGATCAAGCACCATTTACAAGTTAAAACCAAAACAGCTCTAAATAAATATGTCGGTGGATTTTGATGTGAGACGACAACAGGGGATGGATTTTTTTCACTGGAGGAAGCGTTATTTTGGATTATTGACTATTTTACCACCTTAATTGATGTTCATTGATAGACTGGAGTGGTGTGGATTACTTGTGGATTATTGTGATGTTTTTATCAGCTGTTTGGACTCTCATTCTGACGGCACCCATTCACTGCAGAGGATCCATTGGTGAGCAAGTGATGGAATGCTACATTTTTCCAAATCTGCTCCGATGAATAAACAAACTCATCTACATTGAAATAAAGAACACAGGGATGGAAGGAAAACAGAATAAATCCTGTTCTAATCTAGAAAGACCACAAGCAAGAACGGGCTTTGCATCCCCCCATCTGGGGTACGAACCAAATAATAGGAAGATTTACAACCTCTCCTTGGTTTATTAGCTTTGTTACCAAGGGCAACCTGTAGATCCATGATGTCTCACTGCCAGGAATGTCCAGAGAAACCTTCTATTGGTGAAAAAGGACCAATACCTCAAAATATTCCGTAACCATGTGTCCTCAACTGAGTTTCTACAAAAATGAACAGCAGCAGAATAGTAAGTTCCCTATAAATGTTTTAATTGGCCAGACCAAAGCGTTCAGAGCTCCAATCACACCCGGGTTCCCACTTTTATTTCAACTCTAGAGAAACAGCAGAGAGTGTGCCAACTCTGTGGGTAATGACACAGATGCCAGGGGCTTTTCACAGGAGCAGATGAGGAGGCACTATATCAGTTTTTAATGTCAGATCAAATGAATCATCCTTAGCCAGATGTATTGTCTCATAATGAAAAACAATAAATGATTTTCATGTCAAAGGATAACTATATGTAAATCTATATGTGTATATATATAAAATAAGTGCAGTTTATATATGAAATAAGTATACTACAAACATTGTTGAGGTAAATGTTTGGTCTTATATTTTTTACATATGTTCTATTGTATTGTCATACAAATGCCCAGAAAGAATTAGGCATATATATAATTGAAGGAGACAACCGGAGACATGTGATATGATATAGAAGCCAATTTAAATATAATATACATTAATATACAAAGTATATTTAGTTTTTTCCCCCCCTCTTTGGTTTTGGTATTACATGGTTAAATAAACTTTAATGATAATAACAACAACAATATATATATATATATATATATATATATATATATATTTATATATATGTTAAAATAAAATATTTAAAAAAAAACGTTTTTAATGAATAAAACTCAAATGAAAACATTTTAGGAACTGAGGAACTTTTAAAAACTAAAAGATTAAATATAATTTTGAATCTACTTTCAATTAACTTCATTAGATTACAGTTGTGGTAAGACAAATCACACGGGACACGCCAAATGTCTGTGAAAGCCATTGCAACTCCAACTAGTTCTTATGCCAATACACACAAATGAATTAAGAGTACGAGAAGAAACTTGATTGCAACAAATGTCGGAGTCAACGAGGTAATAACGGGATAAATCGTGAGAACTGAACACCCATCACCCTACCTGTCTCAATGGAGTGACTCTGGCGTGTCATTAAGCTGAAGAGAACAAACCATCCTGACAGGTGCTGAATGCATCGTACTCTGGCCATCTCGCGTGTCCAAGCAAAAGCACTTTGCAGCTCCGATGTTAAATGCAATTGTTCTGTCGCATTTGTACCGTGCAAAGTCTACTCTTGCGAAAACCAAACATTCCCTTAATTTATAAAGACGACATATAGCCCGTGAAACGCCCCTAAAGAAGTGCTTTTTAATGCTTTTGAAGCAGGAATATTTGTCTATGGCGTCTCAGATGCGTCGAGCTTAATCCTTGTTCATCATCCTGGCTTTTGTGCCTTTGAAGACTCTTTGTCAAATGTATGCGTCTGAACTATTTCCATGACAACAGGTCCAATGTCACGGATCTAAAGGAGGAGCCGTGCAGGACCCCCTCAAAGTTGCCCCAAGCACCATCTACAGCTGAAGACGGGGCTAAACATCTGTCACACTGATTACATTTGGACAAGTATTTATAGAGCACTAAAAGCCAACTGTTGGAGTTTTATAATTATATGTGTACTTTTATAAGTATATACTGTCCAAGTTTTGGACAGAAATATTCATTCTTCATTATTGTTCTCATTTTAAAATAAGTGTGATTAAAGTGATTAGCCTCATTCTAGCCTCTACAGGAAGGCCATATTCATTCATGGCCTTCCTGTGACACAGAAACCTCCTTATGACATGTTCCCATTCAAAAATCAAAGGTGAAGTTTAAAGTCCAATAAAAGCTTTTAAACCTTTGGGGCCTTTAACAAAGCTTCTTGTTATAAGTTTCATTGGACTTTTCTCTTTTAAGTGTTTGAATGTGTCTCATGATCTACCATTGGAATCCATTTGGGCACAATTCCCACAAAACAGACATTTTCCCACAAAAATAAAACATACAAAAAAAAACATGATTAAATTGAAGAGAACATGATAAATAATTTATCAATATATGGTTTGTTTTCTTCAAAATGCCAAACAAATGTAAGTAAAAAAAACTCTCCCTCTCTCTTAATTGCCTGCCTGCAGATGGTAGGCAACTAAGGTCACAGTTATAATAATTCAGAAGGAAGAATCTCACAGCAAGAAATGACATACCTGGTTCAGTCCATAAGGATGAGCTGCACTGTATTAAAGTAGCTGGTGGACACACAAGATCACTGCGACTATTGATATTGACCCCCTCTTTGTTCAGGGACTGATTATTATTTCTGTTCGTCAAATTCATACAAATAATGTAATTTGTTGAATGAAATACATTATTTGTATAAACATACAATTTCTTTAAAACTATATGCCATCTATTTAACTTTTCCAAGATGCCAATAATAATAATAAATAAAAAAACAAATAAATAAAAATACATTTAAAAAACAAAAATAAAAAATTATTACAAAGAGGAAATTTACAGAAACCTGTTTAGTATAGTGCAATTTGTTTTGTAGGTCTACTTAAGCATATGCCTTCCATGTCAATGGAAATGAGCCATTTATGGTCATTCAGATGTCATCTATCTCAAAAATAGCATATTATCTGGTGCTTTTCAAGACTTTATTTTGCATTTCAACAACTCAGTGTGCTGTTTTTTTTTCCCGAGTAGCCAGAAAATTAAGGAAAATAGTATGTTGCCATATGGCAACACTGCAACATTGAGCGGCCCGCTGACGCACTGACGTCAGACGCCGCGATTACGTCACGCGTAAGTACGTACGTCTCATAGAAGTTTGAAACTGACGAAGGGACAAAAATATTTATATAAAAGCTGACGCAAGGGCGCTAAATACAAACGTACCATCAATAAAGTGTGATTTAAAATTCCTATATTTATGAAAGCATCTTCACAGTCAAGAATCTCTTGGTAAATTCACGCCAGTTGCATTTATGTAATGAAAATAAGTCGAGAGCTAGCTGCTAGCATGCTAACTGCGCAGCTTTAGCAGCCTCGATGAAACATTGACTATTACTGTGTTTACTATAGATTTATAAAACAATACAGCTGTGTTGAGCCCGTAAACCGCCGCATTTATTTTTGACGGTATGTTTCAGTGTAAATTGTGAATTATGTTGATGGGATAATCAAAAATGTGTGTGCTACTTGGGAGTCTGGTGTTTCTTGAATATCATTTCCTGTGCTTGCCAGTTGTTTGCTTGTTAATATAAATTACCTGTCATTAAAGTGTTTTTTTTGACGTGTCGGGTAAAATCATACATTTTGTGCATGCTGGAGCAGTGATGCAAGGCCTGTGCATCACACAAATGTGTGTATCTGTCAAGTGTGTGTGATGTGATTTTATGTGTGAGATGTTTGTGTTTCTTTTTAAATTATATTTTGTTGTGTGCAGTATGTAATCTTTGTGTAACTGTGTAAAAGCCTGTTTTTGTTGTGTTTTCTCCTTTTGGGGGTTGTGTATATGCCTTTTCAGGTGTATGTTGTGATTTTGTTTGCAGGAATTATGTGTAACTAAAGATTTGTGTATTTTGTTTTATGCAGAATGGCTCCTCGGTTGCAGCTGGAAAAAGATGCTTGGAGGTGGGCAGAGATGGTCAAACCAGAAGACATCACACATGAACATATTGAGTTAGCTTATAGGATTGCCGTGCTGGCATGCAAAAGAGGGACGTGCAGGTAATGTGGCGATAATGATCTGTGCTTACTGTTCTCGCTGTTTGCTTATTTCTTTCCATACTGTTGAGTGCATTGACTGTAATTCTGATTTAAAGAAACAGTTTTAATGAAACAACTGTGAAAATGTGTTTATTAGTGCATGTTGTTGTAATCACATCACCATCTCACCATCTCACACAGGCGGAACTGTAAAGGGAATCCTAATTGTCTAGTTGGTATTGGGGAACAATCATGGCTTGGAGAAATTGATGAAAATGCCTTCCACAACATCGATGACCCAAATTCAGAAAGGCGAGATAAGGTACGACAAATGGAATAGCTTCATTTAAAATGATGAAAACCGTACAGTAGGTGAATCTGTAGCATGCTAATGCATAAATAATGATATAGTGTTATTTTAGTATTTTGTATATACTATTATTGTATTTATTAATGTTTTAAACCAGCTTTTATATTATTTTATTTGTTTATATTTATATTTTTAGTTTTAATTTTAATTTTAGTTACAATTTTATTTTATTTCAGATACTAAAATGATTTTTATGATAGTTTGTTTTCATTCACAATAGCAACACTTGTGTATATATATATATGTGTGTGTGTGTGTGTGTGTAATACAGTATCTCACAGAAGTGAGTACACCCATCACATTTTTGTAAATATTATATCTTTTCATGTGACAACACTGAAGAAATGACACTTTGCTACAATGTAAAGTAGTGAGTGTACAGCTTGTATAACAGTGTAAATTTGCTGTCCCCTCAAAATAACTCAACACACAGCCATTAATGTCTAAACCGCTGGCCACAAAAGTGAGTACACCCCTAAGTGAAAATGTCCAAATTGGGCCCAAAGTGTCAATATTTTGTGCGCCCACCATTATTTTCCAGGACTGCCTTAACCTTCTTGGGCATGGAGTTCACCAGAGCTTCACAGGTTGCCACTGGAGTCCTCTTCCACTCCTCCATGACGACATCACGGAGCTGGTGGATGTTAGAGACCTTGCGCTCCTCCACCTTCCGTTTGAGGATGCCCATGCTTGGCCAATCCATCACCTTTACCCT